ATGCTGGCGGCACCTTGCAAAAAGGAGTCGGGAGCAGTTGCCGGTAAGTGCAAAACCGTGGTCGCCCGAAAAGGGCGCTAAGCAACGGAAACCCCGCCTCCTGCACTTGCCAGCTGGGCTCTGCTCTAGGAAGGAGGCACTGGCAAAACCATTTCCGAGAACAATTGCCTTGAAAACTGCAAGGACTCGTCCAAGCAGTCACTGCAGAGTCGGTAACGACTGAGTGCAGATAAAAATAAATAAATAAATAATGTATCTTCTTAAAAATACCTTGATAGTCTTCTGCTTTGTTCTTGTTAGCACCAAATATCTTGATAGTGGGAAACCCTTTAACACCATATTGACCACCAAGAGATTGATGTTTATCTGCATCAACTGCCCCAACTTTCACAACTCCCTGGAAGAAAGGAAGGCTTTCAAGTTAGAGAAACGAAACATAAAACTCCACAAAGAGCAGGTAAAAGCTGTTTTGCTGAGTTCACACACATGTACTGACTTTTGCTCAAAACAATGGAATATGTCAGTTCATATACACATTAATTGAGAAGTGCTGGTTTTGGCTCAGATATTACCTTTGACTAAGCTGTTTCACGATCTTAAAAGAATAAAGATAATTCAGCTTGAAAAAAAAGGATGCTGCGTTCATCCATTTATTTTTCTTTTAAATTAAGCGCAAGAAAGTCACATACCTACACTTTCTCTGCTAGGGATGTGCTGTCTTTGGGAGCTTCCTATGTGGTTTGCCATGCCTGCTACTGCTATTCCTCCATGTTTTCTGGCAGTCCGCCAACCAGTAGGTGGCCAAGGAAGATGATATTGCCCAGGCAGTTCTCCAATAGCAAATGCTTGCACATTAGGAAGCCAAGGCATTGCTTATTGATTTCCCACTCATTGCAACAAAAACCCAGCATTGCTAAGTTTCCTTCCAGTAAATCTTTTAAGAACATAAGGATCGACTGCGTGTAATCTCTGATAAAAATATAATGTAAATAGGGTGGCCAGCAGTTTCAAAATACCAATTAATGAATCAACCAGAAGATTTAGTCCAATTTTCAAACAAGCAATACATCTCTGAAGTAATACTCTATATTTTAGAAGACAAAATCAATAAAGATGAACCAGTATGGTACAAGCTAACTATAAAAATCCTAGACAGAGGCTATAACAGAAGAACTGTGGTCTGAAGACGATTCTATGGCAGGGAGCTTTCATATCAGCTTCTTAGCAACAAGAAATTTGCCACCGCAGTAAGGAAAACATGGGAAGTGGTAAAGAGAAAGGGCCGAATCCTGTCGCTGCTTCAACCAACCTAGGTAGAGTATCTGATCTGAACTGGTTCTGTAATTATTTTGTGGAAAGGTTATAGTAATGCCACAGTCAAACATCTTGTATTTAGCTTTATATACAGGAGTATATATATAGGCCCTTTTTTGAGACCCAGACTTTAATAGGTACAATAAATAAACATGATCTTCAGTAAAATATAATGATAGTGCTAAAAAAACATTTTAAACAATTCCAAAAATGTAGGCTAGCACCCACAAGGCCTCATGCTTCTCCCCAAGGCAGTGGTGGGCAATGTGTGGCCTTCCTGATGTTTTTTGAAGTCCAACTTTTATCAATCCTCATTAATATGCCCATTGTTAAGGAGTGATGGGAAATACATTGAAGGGATGAGCAGGCCACACATTTATTCTTTATCAAAGAAAAGGGGCATCCCAGAATTTATATTTTCAATTCCAGCTATCATTAACTAAGTTTTGAAAGATTGTAAAGTGCTTATTCAAGGTAAGCAAGAAACTTCTATTAATCAGGCACCTGATGACAGCCATTTTCTACTAACAAAGGTATCAGCTGATGGGTAGGATACCTGCTCTTATTGCACACAATCCAGGTTTGATTCCTACTATCATATGTGGGCTGAGAAAGTCTCAGAATTGCCAATCATGTTGAAACTGCTAAGTTAGATGAAACACTATCTGTGCCTGAGAATCACTAGGCTCAAAAGTATCTTCTTTGGCTTTATCTTATCCTAATGCACAAACCCACAACTAAGGCTTAGCATTATTTGTGAACAAAGGCATTCCACTTTGTACAGTTGCAGGAGAAAAAATGGTGATGGTTAGAACAAGCAAAATATCTTACTCCCTTATTACTTTCCTCAGAGCCAGTTTGGTGTAGTGGTTAACGGCATCAGGCTAAAAACCTGGAGCCTATGAGTTCTAACCCTGCCTTAGGCACGAAGCCAGCTGGGTGACCTTGGGCCAGTCCCTCTTTCTCAGCCTTTGGAAGGAGGCAATTCAAAAAATCTGGCCAAGAAAACTTCATGGACTTCTTCATGTGGTCAATGAGAGTCAAGACTGAATCAAACATGCATGTGCGCACACACAAATTTCCTTCCCAGGGACTCAGAAAACAATAAAACCTATCAGCCCAGACATAAAATATTTGGAAAGCCAAGAAATGTTGATAAAGCTGGGAGAAGATGCTAAGAGGAGAGCAAAGGCTCTCGGAAGCAAGATCACCATAAGACAAAGAGGTAGTATCTCCACCCTTTTCAGGTCTGCTTTTGCTGCTCTGATACCAGAAATAAACCATTTGGGTTTCAAAAGAAGGGTATACTGGTCTCTGTTGTAAACAAAGTCTTGGGGGAATCTGAGAGAAAAAATTCTCCTTTACAACAACTGGGGTTAAAATATCCCAACTTAACAGTATGGTGCAATGATTAAGGTGTTGGATAAGGATAGGGGATACCCAAGCTAAAGTCTGCCCTCCTCTAGGGAAGCTCATGAAGTAACGCTGGGCCAGTCACACTCTCTCAGCCCAATTTACCCTACAGATGTGTTGTTATGGGAAAAACTAGAGGAGGGAATAAGCACACTCCCTTGAGTTCCTGGAAGACAGGTAGGATACAAATCTAATAAAGAAATAATAAATACAAAGAAAGATTATTTATGGATATGCTACTCACTTTTAAGGCAGTTGCAGCTTTCTTCCATTCAGATGTCAGTCTTTGGCAGTGGCCACACCTTTCAGAAGATAAAAAAAGAATATAAGTGTCAAACATGTGATTTATTCCAAACCACATACACTCTTTCCTCATATGAATCCTCACACTGAAACGTGTGTAAGTGAATATACAGTGGTTATATTCTAAGTCATATCCCAGATTTATTTTTATTCTGCTAGCATTCCATGATGTTTGGAGCCAATGTTAGTTGCTACAACTTTCCACATATGTGTAACATTACACAAAATGAAAGAAATACTGACTGCTGGACATGTCTCTTGTCCCTTAACAAAACCCAACAGCTCTGCACAACTAGCCGAAGTTCAACACATACAATTCAATCACAGCATTGTCATAGTAGGACATGCAGCATTCTTTGAATTTCTAGCTGCAAAAGATACAGAACCCTCTCCTAAGAAAAATAAAACCAAAGTTGGCAACCATATACTCTTATAATAACAATAACATAAATCTTCAGAAATATGAGAATAAACTGCAGGTGCAGGGCACTGTTATGATTTCTCTAGCTTTCAACAGAGATTTCCATCCTTCTTTCATCAACTGAAGGATGTGGGATCAGCATTTATATTGGTATCATGACTAACACATGCAGACCTGCTCCCCCCAGTGCATTTAATGAGGATGTTAAGATTTATTTTCATCAGCCCTTCAGGGGTGCTGGGCTTGTAAACTTCCATGTTGGCTGTGAATTTCAGGCATTGCAGTACCAACATATCTGAAGGACAGCAATGAGAAAGGTTGACCCACGTGTTCCTGCACATAGTCTCACTTAACCATAACGCTAATATGACCAGAACAGTCTAGCTAGATATTCTGTGTTGAGATGCAGGACACTATTTACAGAAACAAGATAGCTAAAACATATACATGAACAAGTAACAAATGGAACAAACAACAGCCATTCTCTTCAAGACAGCCCAGTTAATACATACCATGGTGCATAGAACTCTACTAGCCATAAACTATCACTCTGAATGACCTCCCTGTTGAAATTTGTTGGTGTCAGATCTATAACATCATCACTGGAAGAATACAAGCTGTTAACAGCCAAGAAGAGGGTGCAGCTTATAGTCCCTAGGATACAAACAGAACAAGATTCAGGTCATTACAACAGACAATCAAGAAGGTTTTTGTTTTGTTTTTAAGATTTTTATCCTGCCTTTTTTTTCATTTACAACTCAAGGTGGCAAACATACCAATACTCCTTCCTCCTCCTATTTATATATTAGGCCAAAAACATGCATGCCTGCTAAATTAGAGGTAAAACATGTATGAGAACCCTGTTCCACTAAACCAAACAGGACAAGAAATAAGATGTGTGGAAAACATTTCAACAGTCAGATCCCATTTTGAGTTGGAACAAGCTCTGACATTACTAGAACTCTTCCTACCCCCAAATAGACCATTCTGGCCATTATTCACAATCAGGACGGCCTACCTCCATTAAGATCAGAATACTAATGGGATACTTCCAGTGAAGTTGGAACAGCCCATTCTAAAATCAGAACAGATCTCAGGACTGGAAAATTTCCTGCTAATCTGGTGCTTCCATTTAGTCTCTATGCAAATGTAGCCACCTGAATTAAAAGCAAAAGGGTATTTGTCCCAACCATTTGCCATGAAAACATATCCACGCACATACAGGTGACATAAACCGAATATATACAAAGTAATTCAGACGTAATGCTCTTACTGCTTAAACCAGGAGTTCTCCAACTTTGTGGTGCCATGACCTCTAAAATGATGCAGGGTGGCAGTTGCACCTTTAAGAGGAGAAAGCCCCCTCCTTTTTTCCATCCTTTAAGCATTTGCTCAGGCAAAGCCGGAGCCCCACCAGACTGCATTCAGGGCTCTCCTTGGCTTGGGTGCATGAGCCCCTCAAAACGTGACAATCTCTAAATTTGCTTGGACCTCCCATAACCAACAGTTCAAAACTCTCTGACTTCATCCTTTATACAATTTAAATCAGGGCTTTAACACAGGCTGGATCCCTTGGAAGTTGGCTTCATTCCTAAATCCATTTATAGGAAAATAAGCTCCATTAGACTCAATGAAACTCATTCCCAAGGAAACAGGCTGTATGTGTTGACTCACATGCTTTTGAACTACTTTATGTGGGAGTGGCTCTTCTGCTTTCAACAGATTACACCACATTTTTTAACACTATCGGTTTGCATGTTTTATTATATTCTTTACTGCTAAGTTATGGTGGTATTTTTAAATTATCTGGCTTTGGGATTTGAATGAAAACTGAATTTCACTAGAAAAAGAAATTTAAGCTCTGTAGGCATCAAGTTCTTTTTGGAAACATAGTCTTATGTCAATTATAAGATTATATCTTATAAATATCAATCCAGAAAGGATGTGCCCTGATCAGTTTGCTAAACCATTCATTTGAAGGTTTGCAATAATGAGAGTCAGCCCAAAAATGTACCCATCCAAGGTGATCTATATGAAAGCACTTCGCTGAAATGGATCAGCCTTCCAAACTGATAGATGATCCCTTTGATAGAAATCTGTATATTGTGATTAAGACTGGCCATCAGCAAGCTGCATGGTTGAAACATCCCAACTACTCTACAACAGAGACACCATTTAATATAAGAGCTTTTATTTCTACACGACATCTTCTCAAGCCAGAAACTGTTGGAAATTACACATGACACTTGTTTCAATCCGCACTTCATCACCTGAGTCATGTGAAGATAACTACAAGTCTGATCTGATGTCTGGAAATATATATTTTTTTTAAGTATTAAAGATGCCCAAAATGTGTAGATTCAGGAACTGAACCAATATTGTACATTTTCTAAAAATCATTTATATGTATTTTGGACTGCACTACAGTAAAGTCAAATTTTCCCCTTATGGGAAAAGTATCTGTGCTCAATTGAAAATGCTTAACAGCAGGAGCAGGAAAGCAATGTGGTGCCTATGACCAATCCCATTCCCACCCACCACACTCCTTGCAACAGCAGGGTTATTTTTAAAATATTCTTTTTAGCTGAAATAAACAAAGTGCTGACATACTACAAAGCAAAGCACAAATCTCTAGCATCAACCTAACTTACAAAATTGTCTCTGGATTCCATATAGACTCCAAAAGCTGGAAAATAAAAATCATGGGAGCCTACAGCTGTGCTCTGTTTCTCCCGGCTGTCTAGAAAGAGCTTAACAATAAGCTGAGCTTACAGGGAGCATCCTGAGCAGAGGCATCCTTGGGAGGCGAGGGGGCAAATGATGAAACCACATTTGTGCTTAAGTTCTGCCCTTGTTGTACATGCATCATGACATTACATGCCCACACAAAAGGGGTGGGGCTTGTGGTGTGACACTTGCTTTGCCATTTTGATGAAAACACTGGATCCTGCAGATACCTCTGATCTTCAGGTGGGCCAGAGGGAATACTGGATGTATTCTGACTGGTCATGCCAACAGTCATTCTAAAGCATGCCTTTCTCATGGCACCCATTTTGCAGACCAAAGTTTCCACGTGTCCCTTGGCCCTAAAATATTGTCTAACCCCGCCTTCTCTATGCTACAGAAATGATTTATTTAAAAGCGGTTACTTTTCATTTTTCTGTTCTTATTTGATTATCATTATCGAATTAATCAAATAAGAACAAGGTTTACAACCCCATAACGAGCTCTGGTGCACTCAGATGCACAATTCCAATGTGTTCAGCAATATCTACTTCCATTTAAATGCCAAAAGGAGAACAGCAGTTCCTGAGACCCACTGCGGGAGGCACCAGGCTAAACCCAGATTCCAATTTCCATTCAGCCCTGCATCTGACTAGCGGGGTGCAAAACAATTTAAATGGTAAGAGCTCCATGTCAATTCGAAACAAGTGTTCCGAGTTGAAACCAGAGTGTCCGGCCTTGAAACACTCCCGGCATGGTCAGCCTGGCCCGTTTTGAGTCTGAAACGTTTCAAATTGGAAGCATTTTGCCCGCCCCATGCAGGCGCCTGGGCCAACGAGACCGAACAAAAGGGTGGCAGAGCTACCCCTCGATCTGTCTGTGGAGCTGGTCTGTCTCTTCCTCTCGAGTGGAAGCGTGATTCCTACAGCAACAACGGGAAAGCGCGGGACCTTAAGCCTTTCCTAAAACTGTATGAATAAGGCAGGACAGTTGCGTGATAAAAGCCACGCCTGCGGGGAAAAAAGGAGCGACCACATAAATACAGAAACCACATAAGCTGCCTTGAAGAAAAGCCTGCCCTGGCTTCTTTCTTAAGTTACTCAAGAGGTCTTCGCATCACCTTCCTGCATCCCCAAAGCGCTTCCCTGCCGCTTCTTCAAAGTGTAAAAAGAGAGGCCGACCGCTCTCTCCCGTTAAAGGACGTGCTGTTCTAGAACGAGTTTCAGCAAATCTGAAATAATGTTAAACTAGAGCCCGAAGGCTGGACACCACGCAGCCTATTTAAGTCTGACAACCGGGGAAATTTCTTACACTGACCCTCACTAACCCTCCGAACCCGTCCCCGCTTCCACTTATCCAAAGCCTGCCCTCAATAGCAGCGTCTCCCTCCCTCCCTCCAATTACCAAGCAAAAATCGCTTTCCGCCCAACGCGCCCATGTTGCGCTCCGAAGACCTCCGACTCCGCTCGCGTCGCCGGGATTCTACCTCTCCTCCCCCGGGAGAGGACCAAATGTTTCAGCAATCCCCGCCGTGGCTTCCGCTCATTGGTTCTTGCTGCGATCCCTCTTTTGCGCAGCCAATGGGAAACGGACGGGTCAGGCCCGGAACGAGGCGTGGAAGGGTTCGGATGGGCGGGGCTAATTAGGCCTCGGCGAAAGGAAGGGAAAAGGGAGTGCGGGTCAAGGGTGCAGCCGGTGCCGCGCGACCACCCTCTTCCGGCCTCTCTTATTGTTACTCTTTGGTTGGCTGGCCATAGAGATGGGAAAAGGGGAAAGGAGAAAGTGGAAGGGAGGGATTCCTTTCGGGTTTTCCCCTTGGGGAGCGCTGGAACTGCTACCGCGGCTTTGAAGCCTGGCGCTATTGCAGATGAGCTGGGAGTCCAGTTCCCACAATTCTCAACTGGGCTGGATGGGAATTCTGGGATGAGTCTTCTAAATCCTTATGGAGGATGTCCCAGGCTGCGATAAGAGGGCCTGTCTTTTTATACTTTTATAGAAAGTAAGGGTTGAAAAGAGTTTGGAGATCATCTGGTCCAACCCCCCTACACTGCTCAGAATCCATTAGATAGAATAATAATATAATAATGATGATGATGATGATGATGATGATGATGATGACGATGATGCTAAATTCAGTCTAAACATCTGGCTGACTGTGACCAATCATCATCATCATCATCATCAAACAATAAGTCTAAATAAATGAAATAAAGATCCACAAAATTAAAATCATTTTATCTTCTAATTTTAGATATTCATCAAATAGTTCTGAGAAGAAAGACCATGGTCAACTGACCCAATGGAGTTGTTTGATTGATTGAGTGATTGATTTATCAAATGTATATGGCCACCCATCTCACAAATGTGACTCTGGGTGGCATACAACAAAACCAACAGTTAAAACATTCTTCAAAAACCATTAAACATAAATAGAAACAACATCAAGAGAATGTATCAGAATCTTACACATGATACACCCAACCCGCAAACTCCTGGTTACCAAGGATGTAAAATATGTTTATGTTGGTAAAATATACTGGTCTTTACCTTTGCAAATCTCATCTTTCAATGGGATTGAGGTCTCACGGGCTTATGTTCCCCTCAGAAGAAATACTGTTTTGCTTAAACTTGTTCTTTTTTTGAGGGTAGCAGCTTTTCAACTGCTTCTGTGTGCATAGTGTAGAAAAACAATGGAAATTTTCATCATGCACACAAGAGAGCCTCCCAGAGATGAATCTTTGTGAACAATACACTTTTTCTGTTATAAAGCACTGGATACTTAAAGATGATGAACAAATAGAAAAACCTGGCTTGAGCAGAACCTGTAATTTTTTTTAAAGAAGCTAAAAATCTCTTTCAGACTAAAAAGCATAACATTCCAATTTTAATAAGCGCTAGTTCAATACCATTTTAAAGCTACACTGAAGAAAATATAAATTTCTTGTCTGTAAAAATTACACTGAAAGGAATATAGGAAATGACAATCATAAATCCAAATAAATTATGTAAAGATCTGAAAGACTAAAAAAACATTTTTAAAAAAAAGGTTAAAATGAAAAATTGGTAAGTAAGTAATTTAAACCTTGGTAAAACCTTTGAAAAAAAAAAGTTGGGTGATGTGATTCTACAAAAAGCAAACCCAAGAAAGCAGGTACCAACAGTGACAAATCTGTACTGTAACATGGCCAGTACTGTAGCTTATGTTCTTCCCTCCATCAATGAAAGCACAAGCAGACCTTCTCTTGAAGTCCTTAAATTGCAGGTGTATATGGGAGAAAACAGTCCTTGAGGTTTGCAGGATCCAGTTTTTCAGTCTTATGTATTCCTGTACTTCACCAACCTTCTCTACGTACCTGCAAGATGGCATTTCATTAGATTTTTATCCTGCCTTTTTTATATATAATTCAAGGTGGCAAACATACCTAATATTCCTGCCTCCTATTTTTTCTACAACAGCAACCCTGTGAGGTGGGTTTGTTGGCCACAGAGTGACTAACTGTTTGGGACATGTTTTTTACCCGGTGCGAGAGAGGGCCAAATTACGCACAGAGTAGAGGGAAGGCTTTCCCACTTTATTTCTGTACAGAAGCAAAGAGGCACACTCGGGACCAAAATCCAAATGGTGCATGCAGAGGGGCATTATCCAAAGGTTTTTATACATTTCACTAAGCAGGTAACATTCATCACAATACTTATTGGCTAAAACAAATCCATGGGTGAATTATATCATGCACATGCGTACTTACTACAACTATATACCCCATAATAAGCCATGAGGCAGGCTCATTAGCATCTCATGTTTACTCCTAGGGGTGTGTTTTTTACCGTTATAATGAGGCAAAGGGTACTATAGTTCAACTTTTAACTAGTCACATATCTATAGTCATGTATTTAATCAAACCAGAACAAGCAGGAGCAACCAGGAAATTCCTAATCTGTCGGGGCCCCACAAACACAGACAGCTCCCAAAACACAAACAGCCCATCAGGCCCACAGGTTGGGCTGAGAGAGAGAGTGACAGGCCCAAAGTCACCCAGCTGGCTTTCATGCCTAAGGGAGGCCTAGAATTCACTGTCTCCTGGTTTCTAGCCCAGCACCTTTGCCACTACACCAAACTGGCTCTCTTTTTGAAGTGGACTCTGAAGTTTGCTAATTACACCTGATGGGTAAGCATTAACGCTCACTATGTCTATTAAAACACATATGAGAACCAAATTGCAAAACTGTTGTTTCTTTCTTTGGATAGCCTCTATGAAGCTTGCTTCTGAAATATAAATGTTTATATGATGCCATTTCTGTATGTCTGCAGATAGCTAGAACAGTTTTTGATATACTTCCTTCAATCTGTATTGGATATGTGCTAATCTTTTAAAGTGTTATACATATTCATTTATTTACAGGGCCTGGTAGGCCACTCCAATCAACCTAAGAGGCTTACACCTCCACAATACACAATTGCAATTAAAATAAACAAGAAAATAAAACAAACTAAGAAAATGCCACTCTTCACAATGTAAATTAATATATTAATAGCTCATATATAAAACTTTGATGTATCACCAGTGCTGTAGAGAAAAACCATTTAAGTTTGACCCATTGCAAATAGGCAAAATTACATTATAGAAGATATCCTAGAACATGAACATTTTGATATTCTACTTGTACTGATTTATAAGAAGCTTTTTGTTGTTACGACAGTATTTGGATTAGGCACCAACTTGATTATCTTTACTCAGCAGGTACTGATAGTTCATAATCTGAAAGCACACAAGCATGAAAATGCATTTCTGAGTATCATGAGAATAGTTTTCCTTCAGTAGAGTGGACTTATCAAAGTCAAATTTTATTTCAGTGACTGACAGTATATAAAAATCTAAAATCAATATATGCTGAAAAGAGAATCAATAATAGTATAACATATTGGTAAACTTCAAATGATACTGGCCTTCTAACCAATATCTGTCAAGTGTGACCACCCTGAAAAGAAACTGGACAACTTTCAGGATAATTCCATCATCTTAATTAGATAAAAGGTAAATAACATAAATACATCAGGCAAGAGACTTGCATGGCCCCTCTCTACTTCTTTTACATTTTTATTGTTTATCATAAAAACAACCTACAATAAAATCAAAACTAATAGACAGAAAAAAGGTAATGTAATAAAATACATTAATAAAAATTAATAACTGGTTTATTTTTATTAATCTATTTTATTACATTAAACAATGAACGGAACCTTGACCACATAAAGAATTATTGGATAGGCTTTCATGTGTGTGGAGAGTGAACATATTTCATCAGTCTATGAAATTACCTGTCCTCTGATCTCATGGCAGTTGAGTTTGCCCAGGAGCCTCTCCTGAGGGATTTTGTCAAAAGCTTTTTGAAATCCAAGTATACAGTATCATCCTTGTCTATGTTGGCATTCCCTGCCCCAAGTCTAGAAGAAGACATGATTTAGCTTTGTGACGCTATGTTGGTGGCAAATAATATCATGCCAGCAATTTTGTAAATATGCTTTTCTCAGTATCTGTAACCATGTTTGCTTATTTCTTCAGTGAATGGGAGCGAGGGGTACATTTAAAGCAAACCTGCCTACAGAGAGGTAGCAGGAACAGAACCCCAAAGGTCTATGGAACAGGGTAATGAGTCCTGAGTCTAGGAACCAGGAGGCAAGATAAGACAAGAGTTCATCTCAATAAAAATCAGAATGTTTCTATTGAAGGGAAAAAAAAGCTGCTGGCTTTTATTTGCTCCGGTTTTGAATAAATGTGCGCAGAGAGTAAAAAATAAGCCAGGACAGCTCTCCAAAGCAGCTAGTGTTGTAGGATCAGATGGGTCCAGAACGGTCCTGTATTGGTGCAAAGCATTAATGTAAAGGAGCCCACTGCACAGACGCATCTAGTAGCCCAACAGAATGGGTGTCACAAAATCTTCAATCCAGCAACACAGAACTACATACATTGTATTACTAGGAAGAAATAATTACTATGAACACATAAAGACCCCAAAGTTCTGTCTTTATGCATGCTTTCAGGAGAGAGAGCATGCATAAATATAGAAAGAAAAATTCAACACTGTAGAACTCCGAGGTAGGAGACAGTATTGTGATTTCAATCTTCCAAACACAATTGCTGCTCATATCAGCAACACAACCCTGTTTAGAATGCGGACACAAAGTCCACACAGCATTGCAAGCATAGGAGAAGTAGGAGATGTTTTAAAAATTGTGCCTGTTTATAACTTTTGGCCCTGCAACAGCAGGCTCAAACGGTTGCCGTGTGTTTAAGTCTTTTTAAAAAGCCTATGAATCTCCTGTGATGGCGCTAATCCTTTTTAAATAAAAGTGACCAATTAATTGAATATAGTCTTGCCTCAGTCACACTCAACACCGAAGCACACTGGCAGCCCCTTCCAGTCACCTGAGCTGCCATTTCTCTTCAGAAGGTCTGCTTTTTACTCAGGTTCACGATTGGTACTTTTTTTTAACCCTTCCTCGTTCATTTC